GTGAGGTAGATAGAGGACTGGCTGAATGGCTGATCCCAGAGCTGTGGTCAGTGATGCAGTCTGGTTGGAGGCCTGTTGCTAGTGGTGTTCCCCAGGGGTCAGTACCAGGTCCAGTCTTGTTCAGCTTGCTTATCAGTGACCTGGATGAAGGGACAGAATGTACATGATGATACAAAAATGGGAGGAGTGTCTGATATGCCAGAAGCCTGTGCTGCCATTCAGCAAGACTTGGACAGGCTGAAGAGTTGGGTGGAGAGGACCTTAGTGAAGTTCAGTGAAGGCAAGTGTAGGGTCCTTCACCTGGGGAGGAGTAACCCTATGTACTGGTACCAGCTGGGGGCCAGCCTGATGGAAAGCAGCTCTGTGGAGAAGGACCTGGGGGTCCTGGTAGACAACAAGCTGTCCCTAAGGCAGCAGTGTGCCCCTGTGGACAAGAAGGCCAGTGGTATCCTGGGGGGTGTTAGGAAGAGTACTGACAGCAGGTCAAGGGAGGTGATTCTGCCCCTATACTCAGCCCTAGTGAGGTCTCAAATGAAGTGCTGTGTGCAGATCTGGGCTCTTCAGTTCAAAAAAGATGACCGCTGGAGAGGGTTCAGCAGAGGGCTATGAAGATGATTAGGGGACTGGAGCATCTCTTATGAGGAGAGGCTGTTTAGCTCCAGTCTGTTTAGCCTGGAGAAGAGAAAAGAGAGAGGGGATCTTATCAATGCATACAAATATCTTAAGGGCAGGTGTCAAGAGGATGGAACCAGACTCTTTTCAGTGGTGGCCAGCGACAAGGGACAGCGGGCGCAAACGGAAACACGGGAAGTTCCATCTTAGTATGATACGTCCATCTTTACTTGGAGGGTGTCAGAGCGCTGTAAAAAGCCACACAGAGAGGTTGTGGAGTCTCCTCCTCTGGAGATACGCACAGGTGAACCTGCTTTAGCAGGGCATTGAACCAGTGATCTACAGAGGTCCCTTCCAACCCCAGCCATTCTGTGAGTCTATGACTTGGCTTGATAGTCAACTGTTTGACTAAAATTAGTCATGAGAATGCAGGATGTAGCAAGCTTAAAATGCTTGAATGTTCATATAATTTAGGGGAAAAGACAGTTTCGAAGAATAAGCTTTTATTGGTTTGGCAGAATGATTTTATCAGAGCACTAGAGAAGAGGCCGGATAATGGGATGAGATGAAGTAGTCTAACTGCTCTGAAATAGCCCAGCTGTTACAATTTTGCATCTAATTATGGATTTCAAACTAGAAGATTTTAGAGTTTCCTCTGAGGCAATAATAATAACAGTTTATGCAGAGAGTCAGCATTTACCTTGTCTTTCACTTACTCCACAGGTGCTTGGCACAGTGAACTTTCTGATCTATGTAGGATTTGTGCTGTGGTCCATTTATTGAAGATGTGAAGCAACGTCGAGTCTGAGGTTGGAATTACTGACAGACTGGAGGAGATTTTAGTCCTTGTGATGCACATGGACATGCTGAATTATAAGTAATTCTAGCTTCTTCTCCCCTCCCTCCCTTCCCCTCACTCAGCTATCTCAGGGTTCATAGAGATTTCAATGGTTTGCGTGCCTGTAAGTTTGGAACAGAAGTGACCAAAAATGGGGGACCAGCAATTGTATAAAACTAACCATACTGCCAACAACAGTGAGAACTTGTACTACGAACAACACCAAATGAACTCCCTTCCATCTCTAAATCATAGCTATGGGACATCTGTTATGGATGCTCCCCAGGCATCCCCCCTCTCCCCTCAGTTTCCCCAAGATTCACGGGACAGTATAGCTTTGCCTGTAGGTTCAAAAAGCCTCGGTTCAATGCATACATCTAGACAAACCAGCTGGACACATTCTGGCTCAGGAAACCATGTCCCAGCAAGGAACAATTTGAATAATCAAAGCGCAGTCTGGAGCCCCCTCGGGCAGGGGGACTCCCATGATGGATACCAATATTCTTACTCTCAACCCAGTGAAAATCGATCGCAAAAAATTACCAGTGGGGTCCTGCATAAATTGGACTCCTTTACGCAAGTATTTGCTAACCAAAATCTTAGAATTCAAGTCAACAACATGGCTCAGGTTTTGCACACCGAGTCTTCGATGGTGGATAATTCTGGTGACAGTGCACTCAGGCAGCTGCTGTCCCAGAAGCCAGCGGTTGAGCAGCAGCCTGTAACTTCTACTGTACAAAGATATCAACCAGTGCCACAGCAAACACAACAGAATTTTGCAAGCACACAGCAAAAGCAACAAATGCAAGTCATGCAGCACCAACAGTTGTACTACGACTACCAGCAGCACTTATCACAAATGCAGATGCATTCTGCATTTCAGCAGGGACAGACGCACGTTCCACAAATGCAGTCCCAGCAGCTCTTACCACAGCAGATGCAGCACTTGCAGCAGCCTCAGTACTACGCTCAGCCACAGCAGGGACACCAGCGGCTCTCGATCCAGGAGATCCAGCAGCAGCAGCCAGCTCGGCAGCAGCGGCAGTGTCCAGTGCAAATCGCTCAGTATTACCAAACACAGCCTGTCATGCAGCAGTTACAGCAACAACAGCAGCAGATGCAATTGCCACTTCCTCCGTATCACAGGGAACCTGATCCAAAGACTATGCATGAACCACACCAGTACTCTCAGGATCCCAGTCATCCTGTGCAGCTTATCCAGTTGGGAGCAGTGCCTCAGTATTGCTTCCAAGATCCCCATGAACAGTACAGGCACTTGTACTCACAGAGTTTACTGCAGCAGCAGCAGCAGCAGCAAGATCAGCAGAAGCAATACCAGAGCAAGAGCAGAGTGCCACCTCTGAACTCCCACGTTGGCCTCACTCCACCAGAGACCACGGAGGATCCTGCACGGCAGGAGGTAAATTCTGTAGGTAATGCCATCCCTCATCGAACACTTTTGCCACCCTTGGGAGTGCATCTGAACAACAAAAGCTCTCAGCAAGACTCTCCCAGCACCACATGGCCTCAGGTAAGTAGTATTTTAGATCCATGCTCAGCCAAACTTGTTTGCAGAAGAGTAGCAAGGTGTGGAAACCATATGGCTTCAGGAGAGTTAGAAGGTTAGGATGTGAGTGGTGGGCATCTCTGGGATGTTTTGGGAAACTGCATTAACAGGCTTCTGTCTACATCTCTGGGCCAGGCTGGCAGCAGCACAGAACTGCTGTGGCACTGCTGCTTTCCTTCTGAGAGGCTTTGGGAAGGTCTGCCTCAGTTTCTGGGGAGGAGGGACCCAGTGACAACAAAGCATTCTTGCTGATTTTCCAACACCTGCAGGTTCAGTTGTTCAGAAGCAGTTAGTAAACTCCCTGTTTCCAAAAGTAGTGCTTCTGGGTCAGAACAAAGGCTTCAAACAGGTGAATGGAAAAAAACTTGCACTAGCTGTGCTCACAGGGGCACTGATTTGATGTCAGGCTCTCAGAGGCTTTTAATGTCAGTAAAATCATACACAAAATGCAAACTTAGTGCTGTAAGGCAAACTAAGTGCTGTAAGGATCTTCATTTACGCATTAATATTTCCTGAAAAATTATTTTCTCCTTTTTCCCTTATTTTCCTTTCTCCTCCTTTGATAGCAGGTGCAACTGTCAGAAGGCAGACTGCAGCAGCTGTCCCCAGAACAAAGGTATTTTTAAAATTTTTTTTTGGTCTTTTTAATTTAAATATGAGAAATGCAAAGTTCTGCAGTTTAGAGGGAAAAGAATGCAGTCTGGGTAAGTAATAATTGTTGCTCTCCTAGAAACATCTTTAGTTCTGTGTTTTGTGATTTTAAGTTTGTGTGATTTCCAGCATCCCCCCTCCACAATAAAATCAAATAAATGCTTTGTCTTTAAAAAAAAAAGGGGAGGGATGGGAAGGAAACAAAAAAAAAACCCCAAAAGCAGGGGAGCAGTTTGCTCTGTGTTGCATTTATAAGTGAAGGAATGGTGTGTGGTTTGGATTTGTAACTTTGGCAGCAGAGATCTTCTATTTTTTCTTAAGGTCTCACCTCTGAAGGTTGAGGTTGACAATGAACATGGTTGTCTACCATAAGTTAGAGGCATTGTGTCCAAGTACTTGTTGGTGCATGAGGGGGGAAACGTAGGCCTGTCATGATAGATCTCACGGGTTCTCAGACTTTTCTATATTGAGACCCACATTTTGATGAGCACATCCTACTCAAAACTTCCCTTCTCCCCATCTTGGGAGCAGCTCATCTAGGTTGTTGGCCACATATTCCACAGCAGTCACCACATGCTTAACTATGACTTCATAACCATCTAGCTGTAAAATTTCATTTAGTTCCTTGACTAAAAAAGCTTCCTCTGCAACAAAGGAAACATACCAAATTAACGTTTTTTCTTCTGCTCCATGCTTAAAAAAATGAAAACAAATATAGTGGCCAGAACAGAGAAACACTTCCTGAGAGAGCTGATGCGAAGAACAAGCTAATGTGTTCAATATGCTTGAAGGAGTTTAAGAGTTTGCCTGCTCTAAATGGTCACATGAGGTCACACGGAGGAGTAAGAGCATCTCCTAACTTCAAACAGGTATCAGTCCATTTTACTTCAGTATTTGGCACTCTCCATTTGTGTTTGCTTGCTTTGCCATGCTTTGCTTTGCTGTCAAAACTTGTTCTTCTCAGCGCTGTTTTGTTATGTCATACCCTGTGTAAGTAGAAATGCACATAATTCTGTTAGGTTGTAGGCCAGAAGTCTTGTTTTAAAGTCAGAGGCAGTGGTGGAGGATAAATCAGTGTTTGTCCTTCTCTGTTTCTCTGCACATTACAGAAACACCCTACAAAGTCATGTCAGGAGTGTCTAATTTTTTTCCCCCGCATGTTTGTTTATTATATTAGAAATACCAGGAACATCAAGTCTTCCTTATTTTTATTTGGACGACTTGGATGACTAAGGGATATTTATTGGAAGTCTTCCCAGGCTTTAACTGAAGGAGCAGAATTTTTGAATTTTTGACAGCTTTCTTCCGAAGTGTTTTAGTTCTATAGGTATCAACAAATGCCAAACCAAAAACGTATTTGAGTTGTTCTGCATAAGTCAGTTGGTCGTTCTCTATCCTGATATTTTAGAAATTCTGTCCTAACAAGGAACACCATAGGAAGGTAAAAAGCTACCAAAGTTACAGTTTGTGTCTTTGTTTTTAGGTGAGTAATGGAGAATTCTGTGTTTGTAGTGATATAAAGAGATGTGTTTATCTGCCCTCCTGCAAGTTATCTTGTAAAGATGTTTCAGGTGATTATTTGTCACCAAGGCTGCATCCTATGCAGGAGTCATAAGTAATCTGCCAACATCATTGAAGGCAAATAAAGAGTCCCAAGAAGGAATGCTGGTGTGTGTTTTGTAACCCTGGCCACTTCTTTCCAGCCACGGTGCATACATTGTGTAGTGTATCGATCCAGAAGCAGCGCTCCCTCACTCGGGCTGAAAGCCTTTAATTGTCTGTACAGGATGAAGGAGAGAAACCAGCACAGCAGCCGCTGCCTAAAGAGGTGGATAGCCTCGCGCCCATCGTCATGCCAGTGTCTGTCCCTGTAAAGCTTCTGTCACCTGAGCCCAGCACGCAGCCCTCTGCCAGCGCTGCCACAGTCACAGACAAGCCTGCCAACTCTGTGTCAGATGACGAGATGCCCGTTCTCGTGAAGATGACTTACTCTCCACCATGCAGTCCAAAAGTGGCCAACCCCTGCTCATCCTCTGTGAGTGCTGTGTTTCTTGCCACTAACTGTCCTGTGCTTGTTAAATCCCTTTGCTTATAGTGCTGCTATTTTCTAAAACATCTGTGTTTTAAATATTTTCTGGACTCTTTATGATTCCTAATAAACAAAAAAAGTCTTGTAACATCATGGCATGTCTTCCTCCATCATTTGGAAATACTTATTTTCCCTTTGCTGAGGAATCAAGATCTCAGTTGAAAATAAGTAATTTGAAATCAGAATGTGATATTATTTTATCCCACTACAACAAAGGGATTTACTATCTTTTTACTGGTTTTGTTTTTTCCTTTTCAGGCTGCTTCATTGTTATGTTATTGCTTAAATTCAGCAGTTTTATTTCTTCCTGTTCTTTAAAGTCAGATATATGTGCTGCTCATTTCAGCTGAAGATAGTGCAGTGCTTAGAGTGGGTGCTCCAAGCCAATATGAAGCTTGTTGACTTGGAGTTCTGCAGTGAAGTAATTTTTCCCTTTCCCTCTGCATGCATCAGCTCGAAGGGTTAATCACTGAGAGTTCTGATACAGAAAAAATAGCTGTGCTTAGTGCTTTCATTTCGCTCGTAAAACTGAAATTGTCAGACAGCACAAGGAATTGATGAGTACTTGAATGAGATGTGAAAATGCTCTTTATTGTTTTCCTGAAAGAGTCCTGGAGCAAGCAGTATTTATTTCATATTCTGGTGTAGGAACAGATTCTGCTTGTTGGCAGACATAATAAGGGATTACTGGGGAGTATAAGTACTGTATGGTATTATCTGTACAATGCAGAGAAATACTCTTGTGATATTTTTTCTTTTCCTGCTCCATGCGAGGCTGATGGCCAAACAAGGGGACAGCATATACCATCATAGGTGACTCCTTAAAATATTCCATGTATTTATCACCCCCCCAACCCCCCCAACTCAGACATTCACACTAATTTTAAATGTATATAAAGTCTTTTCTCTCTTCCTTTCAAACAGAGGTTTTACACACAAACTTCCACTTTACTGGGAAAGCCAGCATTTCACAATACTTAGTAACTCAGCAGTACAATTTTTAATTTCTATTTCTAGTTCCTCTAAAGAATAGGGACAGTCTTTTCTGAATCCTTGAGCTCTGAGTGGGAGATCTTCTCTAGAGACATCAGAGTAGGTGGCTTGGGCTTGTGTATTTCTGCAGTGTATGTAAAGTGACTGATTAAATCTGCCAGTGTTTGGCTAAATGCGCATTCATTCCCTCAAAATAATGCTTGTGGTCTTTGTTATTGCCCAAGCAAACGAAATTCATGCAGTTTCCTCTCTGGACCCTATCTGTTATATAAGCAGTAGCATTGGAAACATTGAATGATCAAAAGATGTATAGTTTCCCTCTTCTTCTGTAAAAAGATTTTGTGCCATTGGAGAGGGTTTTTTTCCTAATACCAAAGAACTGAAGCTGTGTTGCATTTATTTATACTGTGCTTTGAGCTGTCTAGAAAGGCTCCCACAAAGCTGATGGAATCAAACACCAGAAAGTAACTGAATATTCAGCAAGGCTATAGGATGGTGAACTGAAGCTAGCAGTTAATGGAGGTCCGTCAGGATCTACCCAGAGTGGATCTATCAAGGTGTGGCAGCAGGGCCCACAAGGATGCATTCTGTCTTGTATAATAGGAATCAGTTCCTCAAGCTTCAGAAAAGTATTGGGGTGATTCTTAATGAAGAGCCCATGGACACCACTATCTCCTTTACTATTCCGTGTGATCTTTTTTGAAAGCAGTGTTGGCATAGCCCCGCTGTGGTTAAGGTATACTGTAGGTGAAGCCGTGGAGGTGATGAAGGTGTTTAGGACTTCTAAGATGTTGTCTTGGTTGGCTGGTTTGCTTTACACTAGTGAGAAAGGAGTACCAAATGAGCCCTTAATCAAAGACTTGGATCTGGCCCTCTGGGTATCTTTATTAGGTTTTGGGTTGTTTGAATTTTTCTCCTTTCTCCTTTTTGAACACTAAATTTTCACCATCTTGATGGACTATATCTATCCTTTCAGGTAATTTTTACTGTCCATTATCAAAAAAATCCTCTGTAAGGCTGCATTCTTCCATGCAAAAGCAAAACTCTTCCAAAACTTAATTTTTTTTCACAGAGAAAAAATGTCAACAGCTGTTGGAGAGGATACAGCCATGATCTAACAAAGAGGACAAGACCTCTGTAATCAAAAACATTTCCTCAAGCTGGAACTTATTAACATTAGGGATAAAGGGTGACAGTGCTAATGCTTGTTTAACATGATTTTTATTGGGTGAATGTGATTCACAATAACCACCCATGGTGTAAAGATGTATGTTGTTTAAACATACACTGTAGTAATTTGCTTCATGTAGTAGTAGAATTTACCAGATGATGCAGACATTATGGAGTAACCCCATCAGTCAAAAATTTTATTCTACTTCCCAGATTTATCCTAAAGATTACTTACAATCTGAACACCTAAAAGCAGTACATTTGACTGTGTGTTCATATACCATGTTGTTAAAGCACAAGCTGAGAACCTCTTTCTTCCCACCTCATCCCCACCCCACAGAAATCCAGATTCCAGGTTTGCACAGATTCTGTGCCTTCTGCTTCTGTGTACTCTAAATGTTATTAAATGATTTTTAACATTCAAATTCTAGAAGTCCGCACATGTTACAGTGTATGAATTTCTCAAATGGTCATCTACTACCCTTTTTTTCTCCAAGGAAAAAGGAGAGAGTTAAGTTCAAGATTTGTTGCAGCTGGACTGTAATCAAGCCGATGGGAATGTAGTGATAAGAAGCAAAGAATTTGAATTTATTACATTTTTCTTCCTTTCCTGCTGCTGAGTACTGCAGTAATTTCACTGAGCTCATGTGTCCTTCCTGGTCAAACTAAATGCATGCATTGAAAAAGCTCTCATATAAAGTTTCTAATAAACGGTGACTCGCATGAAGTATCTCCCAACAGCCTGTGTGTGTGTGTGCTCAGTGCAAATAGAAGTGCCCAGGGTGCCTGGGTGGAGTTGAAGAAGGGTGTGGGTGACTCGTGGTCTGGGAGAGCCGTTCCTAGCACTTTCAAAAGCTGGCAGCAGCCTTTCTATGTCTGTCCCTGTGGCTCAGCCCTGCCTTGACCCAGAGGGCTTGCTGACAGAGGTGGAGGTTAGTTTATCCTGGTTTTTCTCACTCCCCTGAGGTTTCTGTGTAGCACCAGATACTGTATTGGCCAGGGTTATTATGGTGGTACCTGAATAACTGCATGCTGGTTACAGCTTTTCTGTGGCCATTGCCCAAATCTGTAGGGGGTTGTGTGCAAACCACGTTTAAGCATGCCTGAATACTAAGGTTTTACATGTTTTCGTTTAGGAAACTAGCAAAAAACCTCATCCAAGTGCTGTAAAATTGGAAGAAAACTTCAAACCATTGCAGGATAAGAAGAAGTATCGGCACAGACCGGAACCTCTCTTCATACCTCCTCCTTCTTTCAACCTCAGCATGTCCCACTCCGGTGCCACTCTGTACCAGAGTCAGCTTCGCTCTCCCCGTGTTCTGGGAGATCATCTGCTAGACCGGACACATGAGCTCCCCCCCTACACTCCACCACCGATGCTTAGTCCAGTTCGGCAAGGGTCTGGTCTCTTCAGCAGTGTTATCACTTCATCTCATAGCACCTCACATACTCAGTTGCCACTTACTCCACTGACACCTACTCCACGGGTGCTCCTGTGTCGGTCTAGTAAGTATTACTTTTACAGAGCAGCAGTACAAAGGAAATGCCACTGTCCTGTCTTCCTTTGTTACCACATCGATGATTTTTATGTGTGCTCACATGCATGGCCACTTCTGCTAAATCACAGGAAAAGTCCAGTTTTGCCTTGGATTTTGCAGAGGCAGTATTGAGGCATAAAATGAATAGAGGAGCCTAATCAGTGAGTAAGGCTATGATGTTTCCACGTGGTCTGCCTCGAGAAAGGACCACCATGCCTCTCATTACATCTGGGCCTTCTGAAGTGGAGGAAAGAGACTTGGTTTGAGACAGGGGGTTCACTTTAAGTATTTATTCAGTGCTTCACAAGAAAAGGTGTCTAATCACCCATGATCAGGGCAGTAGAAACCTCTGCAAGTTTGGACATTTCTGTTACCTATAACAGTTTAGACTGTTTCTGTCTAAATATCAATAAAGGGTCATTTTTGCATCATAGACTGGAGTAATGTTGATGTTAATAGGGAGGTGTCAGTGCCGCCCTGGAGGTGGTGCACCAACAGCAACACAGCAATATTCAAACTCCAATCTCTGTTTCAGATAGTATTGATGGAAGTGTCATTCCAGTGACGCCTGGGCCTGGAGAACAGACTGTTGAACCGTAAGAAAAACAATTTTTTTTGTCACTGCTTTTATAGACTATCTCCAGCCTAGAGCATGTGGCCTGAAGTGTTTTGAACTAGGCAAGTAGTGTTCAACTGCCTGAAATCATGTTGAGCTGGACTCATTGAAGTTTTCTGTGGATGGCAGCTGAGGACATTTGGAGCAAAGTGGCTGTAGGAGATTTAGGTGTCATGGCTCAAAAATGCTTGGAGAGGCTTGGGGGCAGCCAATGAAAGTGAAACAACAGTGATGGCTGGGAAGAGGGCTGTGAGGAAAACGTGCTGATCCAGTACTCTAGGTTTTTAACATATATTTTTATATCTATGTTGGAGCTTTAGAAAGGTGTTACCTGGTAGGTTCCCCAGGCAAACTGCAACCAGGATTGTCCGTCAGCAGTAATGGCTCTTTCTGCTCTCTGCTGAAGAGTACCATTCTCTATGGAACAGAAAGTTGCTGTTTCTGACATCCAGCCTCTTTGTTAGTCATGCATATAAGATAGCTTGGGTTGTCCCTAAGGTATGATGTCTCAATATAGTTTAAATTGCATATTGAAATTTTTGTTTTCCCCCAAGAGATCAGTTCTCTCTAGTATTCAAAATACTTACCCCACTGGGAGTAAAGCATTGCGTAAAGCAATCTGACACAATTTCCTGCCACTTGAGTGCAATAAAAGTTTTGTTGGAAATAAAGTGAACACTAATGTGAATTCTGTTTTCTCTGCACCTCGTGTAGTTGAATACTTACATATTTATTCATCTTTACAGGCGAATCAATATCGGGTCCAGGTTCCAGGCTGATATTCCTGAGCTGCAGGACAGATTGCTAATGGAAAAAGACGTGCACAAGGCTACTTTGGTTTGGAAACCATGGCCAGAACTGGAGAACAAAGTCTTCCAACAAAGAGGTACGATGACTTGCTGTTTTAGAAGTTCCTATGTCAACCTGTGCCTGTTGAAAAAATACACATTGATTTCTCATGTGTGTACTGTACAAAACGTTCAGGAGAATATTAATTACTGAGAATGCAGAGGAAGACCAGAACTACATGTTACAGGTTCAGAGTAATAGCATTATGTAGTGGCATTTAAAGTGAAGTCTGAATGAACTGCTTTTTGGCAGCCAAGGGGGAAAGATCATTGCTGGGAAGTTGGGTACTGAACTGCCTTGTAAGGGAAGAGGTCACAGATCAGAGGCAGCTGATGGCCCCTGGGTCTGTCCTGTGACCATAGTTGAGAGGAAATGTGACAGGGTTGGTGGATTCTACCTGTCCTGAACAGAGTTCTTTCCTGCTTCCAGCATGGTTCATTTCTGTTTCTCTACCCTGGCTGGAGCCTTCTTGGCACAACAACATCGCTGGCATGTGCAAGTCACTGCCTCACAGGTAGATCTCTGGCTCTGTAGTAGCTTGTCCCATCCCAAGGATGCGCTCTGCAAATCCCATTACGTCCTCAGTGAGTTATCCTAAAACAAGGAGATGAGATGCTATGGAGAGAGAGTATGGAAGAAGCTGCTGCCCTGAACTGTGTGGTCTTTGAGTGGCATTACAGAATCTTTGGCTCTGGATGTTTGACTGACAGACTACTGTATCAGCAGTAAAATGTTGACTTATTTCTGACAGTGGAAGACCTTTTAAATATGAGCTGTTCCAGTGTGTTACCTGGTGGAGGAACTAACTCAGAATACGCTTTGCACTCTCTCTTTGAAGCGAAAGGAGATATTATGGTAAGATAAAAAGCTGAAAGGGGAGATATGATCCTCTTCTGCAGATAAATTAGCATGCTTTATTAAATGGATTTAGATATGGTTGTATAAAAAAGATTTCTGATTGATTTGCAATGGTGCTTTAAACATCCTGTAACATTTTTGGAGAATGACTTTTCACTTTATTCTCTAATAAATTTAAATTTCAAAGCAGTGCCTCTCTGAAGGTTTACTGTATATTTCATATAGATAAGATTACTTAGTTTATAGCCTTGGAGCTTTGAATGTCTCCCAGTGCTTGCTCCAGCCCTGATATTTCACAGGCTTTATACTTGGTCACAGAGAGCTTAGTCCTCCTCTAGCCCTTATAAAAACCTTTTTTTGTAGCAGCAGTCACATCTACTTATTTGTTCAGAACTGTGAGGTAATTGCACACAGTTCTTATATAAATAATGCATTTCAAATATTTGCATTAGTTTAGTGATGGGAATGTTATTAACTAGGGCAAAACATCCATTTTGTCCAATGTTGAGAAAGACAAGGCCCTTGCACCAGTTCCTGGACAGCCAATTTAAAACAAAATGCAACAGAACACAGGGCTGGAATGATCTCACAGTATTGTCTAATACAGTGGGGTTTAGCTTGTGTCCCAATTTCCTTAGGCTCTGTTAGCTGTATCTGAGCGGTCTGAGTCAGGTGACTGAACTTACTGTCAGGATGTGGAATTTGCTTTACAGGGAGGGAGTCTGAATTGTCAGGGGAAAAATTTTAGGGATCCACAAATCATCTATTTCTCTGCTCTGAAGAAGGATTAGCTATACTTGCTGTCATTCCTGACAGATGTTGACCTAAACAGGTATTCTAAAAGACTTCATGCTATATTAATGCTGTCGAACCAACCATTAAATATTAGTGTCAATTAACACTATCAAGTCAAACACAATAAACTATTTGTATGTGGCAAGCAGAAGGCAGGGAAGAGCTGGAAGTTGCTAAGTAATAGCCAGTTTTCTGCTAATTAAGGCAAGGCAGGTGCACATTAGGTGCTCTTTTGTGAGGTACAGTGTTAATGGGCTGTGAGTAATTTGATGTGATTTTGTATGACAGAAAAGAGAAAAGAGAGAAAATTAATTCGTATCCTTGTACAAAATAGTCTTCTAAATGCAGTTTTATGCAGCAGCCGATTGCATTTGCTAATTCTGTTTTTCCCTGCTTTTTCATTTAGGTTGCTCTTGAAAAGCTGCTGTTGCGAAAGCCAGTGAGATTGAAGTGTCATCCTTTGGCAAATTACCACTACGCCGGTAGGTTTCCTTGTGATCTCTCTGTCTGCTGGTACACAGAGTCCAAACCTGGCATGCCAGGCTGGAGCATGGGATCACACTGCACTCTCTGCTGTCTGCTGCAGGGATGGCAGCATCTAATGGAGAGGTGATGTGGACAGTGTGGAGAGGTATTTCCAGAGCCTTTTGTTACAAGTTTAGCAGTTTTTTACATGACTGAAAATATACGGAAAATTTGCATCCATGTTGCTGTGTAAAATTCTAAGGATTTAAAACTGCCTCAAGTGATTCTTTTTCTCTTAAACTGAAATGTGATCTCCTTTTAAAACTGCTGCTATTTGTAATTTATAATTTACTATCAGTAAGGTCTTAATTGTCTGGTATATAAACATCTTCCATCATCTGCCTGCCTTCTCTGAGGTGATGGTACACAATCAATGAATATGATAATCATGAGTATCCTTCCAAAGAGGCAGTGCTGTAACTCTTACTACTGTCTTAGTGCTGCTTACAGAGCCTCTCTTTGTGTGGGTCTAATCAAAATAAGCTAGGTTGGTGAATTCTTTCACAGATGTAGCAAGAACTATATTGGGATGATGAAGCAGAAGTGCCCTCTGTGAAATACACGATATGATGTTAAGCCATGGGATTTAAGTCATGTCACCTGAACATAGATGGCAAATGTCTCTCCTCTGTAGCCCTCTCTTTTAGTCCTTAATGCTTTGTAGTGGCTAACAACTGCTTAGACACAGAATAGGGTTTTACATAAGACAGTTAAGACTTCATCTCCAGTTTAGGCTCAATGGGAAACAAACCTTCTGGTTTGTCTTCTGGTGGTCAGTCAATCACAGTGTCCAAGTTCACATACCGATTTCCAGTTACAGTCATTGTGTGACATAATTATAGAAGCAAGCTACTTCCTGGCTGTAGCAGCCCATTGGAAAGGCTCACAAGTAACAGGAGATCTTTTGTGAAGCAAATCCTTAACCCCTTGGCATGAGAACAAGAACAGAAATATGTTTGATGGCAGCTCATAAAGATAATGAATAAATGTGATGAACATCAGGTTTAGAGTTTTGTCTGAGGGAGATGCCCAGTGCCTTTGATAACAACTCTGTTGCAGTCAAAAGGGTGGGCATGTGGGTGGGTGGAGGAGAACATCAGCCAGGAACTTTGACCAGGGTCTCTTGTCTGAAGAGATGATACTAAATCATACGTGTGAGACAGTTCAAGGCATGAGAGCAGGAAGATGAGGAGATATCCCAGCAACCTCCTCCTCACTGAACAATCTAATTAGCAAAGCAGATAAGAAATTTCTGCCTGTGTGGCAGAGGACCAACAGTCTTTACTGAAACAACTTCACAGTAGTTTCAGAAAGCGTTTTACTGGGATTCAGGGAGGAACCAGGAGAGACTGTTTTTTTAATCTTTAACATGAGGTGACGCTAATCCTTGTTAACTAGCACTGAGACCTGTGGACACCAGCATATCACCATTTCTTAAGCAGGAAAGAAAGTTTGATTGTACTTATCACAGCATGAAACAAAATATCACCAGTCTGGATTTAAGAACCATAAAATAACAAGACAAAGCATTACTTTCTAATGCTCTTGCATGTGATTGCAACTTATATGACAGCATCACTCAAGCACCATGCAGCAGCTCTTGAATAACAGTTTATTTGGGGTTGGTAATCAGCCACTCGAGGCATTTGGGAATTTCTGACAATCAAGTGCATGAATAGCTTTAATATAACTTCAGGTGGTATTTGTTTGGGTTGACTTGTGGAAATCACAGCTCTTGGACCTCCCACATTTAAAGTTGGAATATACTGAAACAGAGCATGGCACTAACTCATGAGAATTACTGATACCACAAACAGTAAATATCCGAACTCAGCATTGCTCTCAAATGAGGGTACAAACAAATAGCTCACCTTGGAAACCTGTTGGCTTGTGAGGGAAGCAAGCTGTAAAACTTAAGGATTTTCTGTTGTGTGCCTAGATTTTCTGTTGTGTGGTTATGCTGACCCAGGGCTGCTTGGACGAACACCCTAATCTCTGTCGTAACACTTGGCCATCTGTCAGGATGGTGTTTTAGGGAAGACAGAAGGAACGTGTATCTAATCACTGCTGCAAACACTTGCATTGTTCTCATCTGAGTAGTGGAATTTCTCAGGTCTGAAGTTCTGCAGTGAGAACTGCAGGAGAGATCGTCTCTGAAATAAGGCACTTCAAGCAATCTGGAAGCTTTTTGTAGGTACTGCAGTAGGGTGCGGATCAGATCCAGCGTATGCTGGATGTAGTGGATTTGAGCCACCTCTCAGTGGGGCTGCCTAGGTGTATGTGTAGCCCCCTTGAAACCCACAAGTTGGGCCCAAAGTGCACAGATTAGTAGAAGATATTTATTGCCGATCAATCAATGCAAAAACAATATGACAGGTAAAAGAAAATACAGAGTAAATATCTAAACATAAAGATCAGCTTTAAAATTTTATCTGTATTCCGAAGCCCAAAATTCTTTTTTGCTGCATTGCAGATCTTTCTCTATGCATGTTCTCTATATCTCCCTCAAGCTAACAAGAGCAAAAGTGGTTTCCCAGCAACCAGAGTTAAAAACAGCTTTTCTTCTGTTTCTTTTCCTACACAGGATTTATTCTATTAATTAGGTTACTTCCAATTAACCCGCATAATCTTATAAGGGTCTCTGCTAATACCACAGCTATTGGGGAAAGTCTGTAAGGCCCAAATCCTCCATAGGTGTCCAATAAAATTAGTTCATGGAAATGATTCTATGTTATTATTTTTATTGTGTTTTTTTAGGAGGGTGGGGTAGAGACAGGAGAGCAGCATGACTAGAAAAAAATCCTCCTTTGGTGTTGTTATCCTTTTTTAAATTATGTTTTGGCATAATAGAGTAGCCCCCTGGACTTAATCAGTGCATTTACCCGTATCCAAAGTGAGGGTAAATGCAAACAACTGACAAGTTGTGTAAGAAGGGAATGACACTGGTTCAGGGTGGGAAAGATGGAAAGGCAGTGTGTCAGCAGAAAGATCTTCGGATGATAACAGAATAAGTTAAACTTGTGGCTTGAAGCCAGTGCCTTTCTCTGATGCTTAAGAGAGCTTTAAGTGTAAATCTCTGTGGAAATAACTAATGCATGCTTATATCCAGTGCTGGAAAAGCCTACATAAAACAGGCTGCAGAAAAGTTAATTTTGTAGTTTTCAGCATATAAAGGAGCAGTGAAATACCTGCTCTGAACTTGTAAGCTGAAAAGCAAAACATTTTTAGTTAATAAAATCTATATATTTCTTTATAGACATAAATAACCTGTAGAGTTCAATACCATGTGTGATGTCAAGTCCAAGTTAATGGAAATCAGTGCAGAGGCAAGCATTTCTATGGAGAATGGTAACGTTGACAGGAATATTAGGGATTTCTTTTCATAAAAGTTATAGATGTTTCAGAAACTCTCAGGCTAAAGTAGAATCTTCTCATAGTGTAAGTCATTTCAGAGGCGTCCACATTATGGTTTCTTGCATATCCTTCCTTTAATATATGTAATGCTGCCCACTCTTAACAAACAGAACACTGCTTTGATGCAGTAGAGCAATCCTGTGTTCCTTCTGTTTAATACTGAGGAAGCATAAATTCATTTCAATTTAAATGTTGATTTCACATTTTCATGGGCAGTTAGGCTGGTGGAGCAAACGCAGAATAACAATATTTAGAAATTTTATATACAGCTTCCATTAAATGATCAGAAAATACTTTTTGCATATTGCACATTGCTACAATCTCTACATATTTGTGACCCCTGTCCCAGAGGTTTTAAGTGTCTTACCTCAAGCCATATAAGTGAAGAGCTGCAAAAGGATCTTGTAAGAGTTATTGTCTGGAGAACAAAATGATAGATGAACTTCTGTGTAGTCAAATGTAAAGTGGCATATATGGGAATAAACAATACAAGCTTTACACAGGAAATTATGAGTTCTGTGGTGATACTTCTCAAGTAGAATGACAGTTTGGGATTATAATGCTAGTTCTAAGAAAGCATCAGCTCTGTATTTTACAAAAGCTAAGGTCAAACATTAAGAGAATAGAGAGCATGGTGCCACTGTGAAAGTCTGAAGGTTGCTTATATGTGGATTTGTGTGTGCCTTTCTGGTACTGTCATCTCTATAAGGAGTGTTTTAGTACTGGAAAGGTTCAAAGAGGGACACCAGTAATGATCAAAGGTTTGGGAGTGACAGAAAGGGCATGGAATCTTGAATAGCATGGAGATGATGGTTGAGTTTGGGTTCATTTTATCCTCCTCCTTGAAGAACAAAGGGTCATCCAATGAAGCTACTGGGAGCCAAGAAACAAAGAAAACGGAAATGGCTCTTCATGCAGATGGTCTACATATCTGTGAAACTCTTCAGCAAAGGATGTTTTGAGTGCAAGAATTTTAATCAGTTGAAAGGAAGAGTGGCTCAGCACTTACAAGGGTAGTTACTAAATAAGCTCATTGCACCAGACTCAGGAAATCCCCTGCACCAAAAGTGGTCAGAGGTTAAGAAAAATTAGGGAGAGGCATTGTGTTTGCTTGCCCTGATCTTACTGTTTCCTAGGCAACCATCTGTGATTACTGTTGGAGACCGAATACTGGTTAGATGGACTGGAGGTCTGAGTCAGTACACCCATACTTGTATTTGGGTAGCAGCTATCAGTAGCATGTGCTTGAGGCTTCCCAGTTTTTGTTTCAAATGCTACATCAACATAAAGGTGGTGAGTTTTTATCATTTATAATGAATTAACATTTTTTTTAAGGTTCTGACAAATGGACGCATCAAGAAAGGAGGCTGTTCAAAGAGGCATTGTCCACCTACAGCAAAGATTTCATATATGTACAAAAAATGGTAAGGCTATTTCTGTTCTGTCAATTGTTGGTTGTTTTTTTTTTTCCTTTTGCTGTGTTCTGTTCCTCTTTATTTTCCCTCCAGTGTCAGACCAGCTTATTGCAGGCGTAGAGCCAGCAGTGGTTACAGGAGTGGTTTATTCATTGGACGTACCTACACAATAAGTACCAGTAAAAAAAAAGTTACAAATAAATAAAAACCGTTTGTTTTGTTACTACATGTAAAAGTTTCCACACCTGAAGTCCAAATCATGGCATTCTATGTGTGGGATAAGTATGGTTCTCCATTATCATCTTGGTGTTCTGGCAGTTTGTTACAAGATACCCGAGTCCCTGGCATGGAGCCTGGTGCCAGAAAGGGTTGAAACCTGTTAATAAAGAGAGAACATGTTTGGGCTTAATTTTCATATTCTGCCACAAAGCAGAAAAGGCAAGGTGTGTACATCTCAGGGCACAATACCGTACTTCTTAGCTCCGATGTTGAAAAACATGTGGGTTTATGCAAATCAAATCTTAATTCCTAGATTTCTCAATTGCATTGTACACTTGAGCGACAAAAGTATATTCTGAGTCATTTTCTGGCTGGAGTCTAGAGAATCCCAGAGCAATCTGCTGAAGCTGAAAAAGTCAACACAAATGTGACAGAAAAAAAACCCTGAAAAAAACCTATTCTACAAGAGCATTCCTGTTGTAGTCAAACAACCTTTTTTTTTTTTTTTCTCCATTTGAATGCTTGAGTAATAAAGCCAACCCCTTGGAATATATTCAAATACTGTTGAATGAAAGGAAAAAATTGAGATTGGACTATTTCTGTGTTACTCAACTGCAGGTTAAGTCTAAGACAGTTGCACAATGTGTGGAATACTACTATACCTGGAAGAAAATCTTGCGTTTGGGACGGAAACACAGAACACGTTTAGAGAAAAAAAGAGATGAATGCCTGGTAAGTCTAAAAGAATATGAGAAAGTTTAACACTTGATAATTTTTTTTTGTACTGTGTTGAGAAGGTTGAACTAGGTGACATAGGTATCTTCCAAGCAAAATTATTCCATAATGCTAAATTATATTCTGTATGAACGTTGTGTGACCTCAGCTGCACCAAGATCTGTGTTCCTGGACTGTAACAAGATAAAAGTCCATTATCTAACTGTAGTCTAGCAGGTAAATCTCTTTAAATTATGCCTGTGCCCATGTCTGCTCCTAAAAGCTGCTCTAACATTCTAGTATAAATGTCACTTGAGATGTGTTGGTTTGTGAGTTAGATTTTTTTTTTTGTTTATTAAGTAACTTGGCTACAAGTGCAGTGTACATTGCCTTTCTAATGGCAGGAGAGTACTGCACCCTGTCATCTGTAGATCTTTGGAGCTACAGCTCCATAATACAGATGGAGGGTGTTTTGAGCACTGCACATAAGCTTCATGTGCTGTAGCTTATCCGTTAAGTGGCGGTAGTTCCAGCAAGACCAGAAGT